TAGTAATTGAAGTCCTATTCCTCTCTCACACACTCTTCACACGAGCTCTCGATTAGTATTTTGTGATTAAATATGAGACCTAAGGCCAGGTGTAGTGTCGGTCCTAACCATACATACACTGTATTAAACAATGTATGGGAAAGTCATGTCGACTACAGTTTCCCTTTATATAGAACTCTGCATTCATTGATTGCATTCAGTCTTTCCTATCATTTAATGGTTTTGTGTTTTGTTATATTAAAGTCATATAATTATTATCAAAATCATTAACTTTTCTTTAAAATCTTAAAAGTTGTCTGACATTTGTCTGAGAATTATATTCTTATCTTAATTTAAGATTTTTGTGATTAATTTTAATAAATAATATATTTTTAAATATCAAACGATTAAAGAAAATCTCTGTGAGAGAGAAAGCAATTCAATGATAAGTTGCTTCAAATGATTGATACAATCGGCGACTCCAACACTGAAAATAGTTTTTGTTTTTAAGAAATACTTTTATAATCCGATAAAAATCACTCTACTATTTATTTTTACCCAAATTTACGGACGAAATAACCTTCTTGTGTCCAACAAATGTTTTAAATGTCAAACACAACATTTGATAGAAAGATATCATTCAATGAATACATAATACCATTGAAAAATATTTACCTCAGTTTACAATAATTATAATTAAAGACAAAAACCACTGAATTTGATATCGACTTAAATATAAAACAAAAATACATAATAGGAGTGAAAATGAAGTCGAAAGAAGAGTAACTGATCTGAGACTACAGGCGTGGGAACGACTCATACAAACGCTTTGATTACATAACACACCGGCTATTGATTGAGTGCTAACACACAGGCATTGCATGAAAAGTCTGTCTATGAATACAATGAATACGAGTTCTTGTATTACGAGTTGTAATAGAAAGCAATGATAAGACATAAGGCATGCAAACCCTGTCCAACAGGTTTACCGCAAACTATCAAACGATAACTCATTCCATGAATTCTTGAGTCCATCGGAGAGAGTTCTTGTATTACGAGTTGTAATAGAAAGCAATGATAAGACATAAGGCATGCAAACCCTGTCCGACAGGTTTACCGCAAACTATCAAACGATAACTCATTCCATGAATTCTTGAGTCCATCGGAGTCTCAGTCATGGGATTTGACTAATCGCTCATCGATTGGATCCGAACTTAATTTCAAACCAAACTATTTATATCTCAACTCTAGGGGAAAGGCGTTTGAAATTCATTGCAAAACCAATAATTATATTCGCAATAATTGACAATTCAATGCTTGTCTCCACTATTTTGACGCTTCAAATGCATTCAAATACACTTTTTGTTCATTTGTTTAACTCTTGTCTGCAAAAAAAATCTATTGGTCTTAACAACAGAATTGATTTTTCTAACAGAAAAGTGATTTAAAATATATATTCGTTTGCTTTAAATATATTTTTAGTTAAATACTGTATAAGGCTATGGAAAGTTTGACAAATATTTGCGCAAAAATTGGTTGCAAAACATGAATGTCTGTCTCTATAGCCCTAACTCTGAACTAGAATTTAGCTATTATTGTAAAATTGAAACGATTTGAGAGTAAAACAGTTTTTTATTCGCATTTCGTATCGGAATGTAAAGTCCGGGCATTCAGTGATGTATTGTCCGAATGTAAGCCATTGTATGGACTCTTATATTATTATCCATACCTTTGAGTGCATAAGAGTTTTTGCGCTAAAATATATACACTATTACTCTTCGGCACGTTTTTCNATGTAAGCCATTGTATGGACTCTTATATTATTATCCATACCTTTGAGTGCATAAGAGTTTTTGCGCTAAAATATATACACTATTACTCTTCGGCACGTTTTTCTCCCCCTCTTTCCTATCCTTTTGTCAAATATATATACAAATAGAGTCAGCCTTTGAGTGAACGCCAAAAATGGGACGCGAACTCCAACTCCAACACAGATCCAGATCCAGGCCTCACATTATTAGCTCAACCATTGGTTGTCCTCTCCTTCTGGCGATACTTTCCCACGACTTGGATGTGGAAGAAGTGGTACACGTGTTGTCATTCGTGTGTCTCTTCACTACTACTTATCCATCGAACCATTCATTTACCTGTTCTTCACTTAAGACCCGTTTCTTTCCTTCACTTCTCTTTCACTTTCTTTTCAATACTTTTTTGAATCAATTTTTGAGTTCGTTTTATGGCTTATATTTCATATAATCTCATATTACAAATACCTTTAAAATTGATACAATTATTATTTATAAGATGTAATATAAAACATCGAGATAACATTGACATCAATTTTAGATATTTTAAAATTATACAAAGGAAAGTTTATCAAACCTTTAATTAAATAAAATTAAACCCCCAATTGATTACAAATATTATTCAATTAATAAAATATACAACAACCAATTTGCAGTCATTTATCATTCATCCAATATTTAGATTTCGTTGATAATAATACTTATAAGTACAAATGTTTAACAATAAATATAAAATACATAGGTTTTGGAAAGTTTTGTGATTTTTCCAAATAAAATTTGAAACTTAAAGATTTATACAAAATGCAAACCAATAACAATAGAACTGATTGGAAGTGAATTAACAATCATGTGATTAGTGTTCGGATTGTAATGACATTAAACTCCGGATAACATTATTTAATAAGTGATGTCTCATGAGATGCGATCGGAGTTAGAGTTAATTGAATCCATTCTATCAACTGATGGATGATAACCAAGAGATACATCAGTCGTACGAGTGATCTATTCAAATATTTATCGGAGTTTTGTGTAAAATAAGTGCCGATCCTTACAGTGACCGGTGATCCCAGAGTTGAGCCGCGCATACATTATCACATCTAAGGCCTATTGAGTTACACAACACTTCACAGCATTGGACGCCAATATTAGAGCCGCTCTCATGGGAAAGGCATACAAAATACTGATAACTCGTATAAGTCTTGTTATAACAGCAAAAAATGATTACTAAATATAACAGTTTTAGTGAGTGTTTGAGTGATCACTGAATCTAACGCTGGGATCACTCGCAGAGCCCAACAGTGATTGTGTACTAACTCTGCATCACTTGTATGAGTGAGTGCTTAGCGTTTAGAGTATAGGCAGTGCTGTTGCATAACAAGTGATAGATCACTGAATCTAACGCTGGGATCACTCGCAGAGCCCAACAGTGATTGTGTACTAACTCTGCATCACTTGTATGAGTGAGTGCTTAGCGTTTAGAGTATAGGCAGTGCTGTTGCATAACAAGTGATTTAATTGGTGTTTAAAGCAATACATCTTTGATTTTGACATCAAATTTTCAAAAATTATTATATCATAATATCAACATATTATGTTGTTATATTGTGAGTACAACTTACTGTATGTCACTTTTTTTAAATTTTGTTTCAATATGAAAGAGAGTTAATACTCATATACTTAAGCGGATAGAAGTTATATGTTTGCGAATTTAGTTAATTGTAAAAGTTATATATTTTTACAATACATTACTAAAATGTGCAATTCTATGAGTTAACATAACATTTTTGTCAAGTTCTCTACAAAATGCAGATAATAATAGACATTAATATTTTGTGGCAATTGTGACATCAGTTTTGCTTAAAGATGAATGAAAAATGTTGCCAAAATCACAATTTATTCACACAATTGTTATAAAATGAGTTTTTGGTCACAATTTATATAAGTATTTTTGAATTTTCGCACAAAATTGGATTTAATATCAGTTTTGGGACACATTTTCGTGATTGAGATTTATATGGATTTGTATGGTCTGTATGTTTGGGATAAACAAAGTAAACCAAAAGCAATAAAAAGTGCATTTTTGGGACAAAAGTAGCAAAACTGACGGTAAGAGTGAATTGAGGGGCGATTGAAGGGTCATAACGAGGGTCTGCCCTCTCATCGGTTCCACAATAGCTTACGAGACATAAGAGACTCGTTTTGCCCACAAATGGTTTGCATTGATGTATAAATTGCCGTCACTTTCAATACAGACATCACTTTCTCTACAAAACTATAATTGAAATGACTTTTTGATTTGATTTCAAAGCAAATGTCAAAACATAATTAGTTTCAAATAAAAATGATATAAAAATACAGTTAATCGTAAGACAAATATTCTTTAACTTGAATATTATTTAAACAAAACACATTACACACAGAATTTGAAAATTAATAGCACTTTTTAGAGAACACTTGTTGAAAATTTAAGGAAATTAATTATTTAAAAATATAATTAGATAAAATATTGTTTGGTAAAAATAAGGCTTAATCTAAAATTACATTCATTTAATATATAAAATGATTATCGTTTAAAATGTTCATTTGAGTAAAAGTGAATTAATGTAAATTTTAATTAAATACAATTAGAATATATAGAAATTATTGCAATTAGTGTTAAAAATGTATACCAAACTATAAAATTTCATAACAAATGATTTGCAGAGTGTGTGGCGATCGGGCAATTGGTATGTATATTAATTTAGGTGTCGTTTAATTCAATAATAATTGTATACTGTATTGATTTAATGAATAAAAGGCTATAATTTTGGTGCCCTAACGTGTGAGTCCTGTCGCACGTTTTTTCGCCGCAATGCCAGTCGTGTTGAGGTATAATATTTAGTTATAAAATGATGGTTAGTTTATTAACATTATATTATTTCAGATATTTGTCTGTCCTCTCGGCAACAATTGTGTGATAAAGCTTTTAATGAGAAAGTGCTGCAAAAAGTGTAGAATTGATAAATGTTTTGCCATCGGAATGAAGAAAGTAAGTAAATATTTAATTTTATAATAGAGTATTCATGATTTTTATTTGTCTACTTATTAGAAACGAGTTGCACTCAAATGTGACCAATTAATACGTGATGAAAATCTCAAAAATGTCAATACAACTTACAATCCATTAGATATTAATACGAATTTGTCAAATGATTTTAATGAAATCAACAAAATGGACACTAAAATACCCTCTTTTATCAAAGGCTTTATATTTAACTTCAATGAGTTAGAGATGAATAGATTTAAAGAGTTATTCAATTCAGTGGCTGTCGTTAGGAATCGCACCGTAAGAACGATAGCATATGAGACGGTGTGTGTGTCGGACGCGCTTCAGATATTGCAAAACAGGGCTGATATTAAGTTTGCATTAATGGTTAAAATGTCGACAAATATTAATGGATTCAAAGAGTTGTGCGAAAACGACAAGATTGTGCTCTTGAAGGCCGGCTGCCCTCAGATCATGTTTTTGCTCAATATTAGAGATTATGACTTCGAGGGCCAGTTCTGGACGATTCCCATTGTATGACATTATTGTACTTAAAGTTGTGTGAAAATTATTGCATGAATTATTAAAAATATGCACATTTTATTATAATTTTGACATAACTATGATTTTAATGTTTTGAAAGTTAATATAGTTTTGATCACAATTATTAGGACAATGAAAGGGCAACGATATTACGGATGAGTGTAATGAAGGGTTGGAATGAAATTGTGGTTCAAATCCATAAGAAATTTTTGTTTACTCTGAGAGATGAATACAATAATGATATGAATTTAATTGATTTGGTATTTAATTTTTAATTCTACATTTTAATGAAAAGGCATCAATTGTTTGATTAAATTTTCAGTTAACAGCGATTATACTTTTTAATCCCAAACAAACAAATCTTATTCATAAACAAAATGTTAAGTGAGTATAATTTGATTAAAATTATATTAAAATTAATTGTAATTTATTAATTGTCTTATAGATTACAACAGAAGACATACATGTATTTACTTCAACGGTATTTAGAGATTAAACACAACTCGAAGTCAGAATCGGAGACACGTTTCGGGCGTTTAACCATTCGTAGGCATTCTTACGAGAAAAGTCTCGGAATGAGTTTAAAACTGTTGGCTAAAATCAGCGGTTAATGTCAGTGTTAAAAAATTTCAGCATAGCCTCAACCAAACATTTGAGTAAATATTGAATTAATCAAAATGTGATTATCATGTCTGGTGTCCGAGCAGTGGATTTTCAAAGAGAGGTCACAACAAAAACTCTCCCAGAAGGTGAAACATGCAACTTTTTGAACGCTTAACAAATCAGTGCTTTTGAACTATATAGCAAATTTCGACGCGCCGCCACACACTGACTGCCCATTTTCACACACTATTTGTTGGCTTCTGTGCATAAGCATAATGCACTGTAAGTTGAAACCATAGAAAGGGTTCAAATAACTCGAATCACAGACGGCGCGCACATCAATTGTAACGCGCATAGCCTTCATGGAGAGTTATCTCTCTTGGATTGCATCATTTAATGCTATGTATGCAGTGTATGAGTTGTATTGCTTGGGGTTTGCGTGTGGAGCTTTATCTGAGCACACCATATACTATGTTTGTATTGTATGAGTTGTTGAGCATGCGTAGGTAGTTTTGCACTCCATAAATTATAAAACATTTATTTGGGATAAATAAAAACCCCTTATTCCTATTTAAATAGGAATATGGGGTTATTTCAAGGCATAATTTCTGTTATGCTATTTGTAAGCATTTGTTTATAAAAATGTGGATAAAAATATCTTAATATTGTTTTTCATTTATTAAGTGTTTGTAATTAATTAATAATGAGTCAAAAACTCAAATTAACGCAACAACAGATTGAAGCCTTGTTGGACATCGATAGTGCGGATGATAACTCAAGTGATGAAGAACCGGATGAGTTGCAAGTCTCTGACCACTCAACAGATACCGAACAGAGCGCCGAAGAGGTGGACAGCGATTATGAGGAAGAGTTTTGCTCAGCAAACACCACAACATCTCAATCAACTAAAGCTAGATCACAATACATATTGCGAGTAGAATTTGGCCTAGGTATTATTGTCCCTTTATATGCTGTCATACTCTGTATTAATATGTGGTAATTATTGATCACTGCATTGAACGGTGGGATAGATTCACAACAAGTGGACAAAATTGATGGCAAAGACAATGAACAAGATATGATTGTCTCGTGTAGTGCTGTACTAAATGGCCAGCAATTGGTTGAGAAGTATTGCAAAAGTCTGGAAAGCAGGAGTGATATGAGCCCCAACTGTCAGAAACGTCTGGAGGAGTTGGCCTCCGGTCCCGACTCTCACCGTCTGTCTACTCCTGTGTCAGTATTATTGGCGGCGATTGTGGTGTCGACAGCCGTCATTATCTATGGATTTTGAGTATTAATTCAAGTTATCATTTCATTCGCTATTTTATATCTAAAATGTTTTCATATTTTGTTTTTATTTCATTTCAATGTTTTTACTTTTTTACAATTAGTTTTTTAATTGAATTATATTTTGTTTTGTAATAAAAACCAAATGATTTTAATTAATTTATTGTATTTTTTACAAACTATTTCAAAAGTTCAAAAATAATTGTAAAACAAATTACATCATATCTCGACTCGTTGAAAGGACAGACCCTAAAGGACATTAAGGTATTTAATAAATAGATTACCCATAAGTCCCATTTAAATAGGACTTATGGGTATTTAATTAGATACTAAATTAAAATTATTTAATGGGAGACAAAGCATTTAACGGCTAAACCATATAACGACTGAACCATACAACCGCTCCATCATATAACGGCTAAACTATACAACCGCTCAATCATACAACGGCTAAACCAAACAACGACTAAACCATATAACGACTGAACCATACAACCGCTCCATCATATAACGGCTAAACTAAACAACGGCTAAACCATATAACGACTGAACCATACAACCGCTCCATCATATAACGGCTAAACCAAACAACGGCTAAACCATATAACGACTGAACCATACAACCGCTCTATCATATAACGGCTAAACTATACAACCGCTCAATCATACAACGGCTAAACCAAACAACGGCTAAACCATAATTCTGTAAAAACAACTATTTTACTGCAAAATAACGTTGTATTTCTATTTAAATAAAAATATTAGATTTTAGTAAATAAATAAGTAATATCTTAACGATGTTTATGTATCATTGTTGTAGTAACTAGTGCGCA